CGCAAGGGTTTGCTAGTGTCCGTTGGGAGCAACACTAGCATGCTTTCTCTCCTTCAAGCCTACATTCATGAACGGGACTAACACATGTTCATATAAATATATAGAGCACGTTATTCTACTTGACACTCCATGTGGCATGATGACGCCATGATGGACACATCATATCTAACACAAAAGGTTCAAAGGTAGAGAAAAGATGGAGATGGCCATGTTGTTGGAGATGGGGTTGATGAAGACGATGGAGCTTGTGATGAGATACCCACGATGAATGGAGTGTTGGTGATGACAATGAATTCGACTTCCCCTAGTTAGAAAATTTTACATTGTTTTCATGAGTATGAAATATGAACACAAGTGTTCAAGGATGAGACTCACTTATTTAATGCATACCTTTCTAATCGCTTATTCTTTTGAGAAAGTCTTAGGCTCTTCTCCTTATCTTTTTGTTGTTGAAAAGTTTACTAGGAGAAAACAGTAGAAAAATACTCTCTAAAACTTATGGGTTGCCTTCCAAGCATCGCTTTCTTTAAAGCCGCATATCCAGGATTAATGTGCTCAATAATTATTTCACCAGGATCCCAAGGTATATCAAAGTTAATTTTAGTTAAATAATATTTGAATCTAAGTAGTGAGCACAAAGTAACATAGAGCATGTAACGATGAAGTCTAACCCTCTTCATATGCACTAGATCGGCAACGCGCCTTGGCGCAAGGGTGCCGGTCCAACCGATATGATCAAGCAGTGAAATATCAAACTGATATGATGCAGTAGTAGGAAGGCAAGTTTTGCACGTGTAGCAGAACAACTTGAACAACTTAATCAAAGAAGTGCTACTTGCCGAACCCCAACTCCCACATGTGCGTATCTATCATGCTGGAAATATATCAAGGAATTAATCAAAAAAAGTTCAATGATCAAATATCTGATATAACCCTTTTTCAATCAACATCTGATATTACTCAATGTATCTCAGGATGAAAATATATCTAATATTACTCATAGAGGTGATGGTAGATACTAACAACAGTAAACACTCCGCAAAATATCTAAAAAATGGCCCTATCTAAGCAAGGTTCGGTGTGGTAGATATCAAAATCGCGCCATAGTATTAGTCCCAGATAACTGATGTACACCGTTTTTCACACTGCATAATAGTAAACTACATGGTTGAATATTAGATATATAACTTTGTCCATTTGATTTGGTTGCATGTTGCAACACATGTTGCCTTGCCGGCGTCGACGCCGATGCCCGACTGCTCTTGGAGGCGTCAACGGTGGTGTCAAGGCTGAGGGCGAGGAAGAAGGGCTGGTCGCCGGCTCCATTTTGCATCTGCAGAACCCAAGAACTAAAGATCAACCAAATGATGTGCTGTGAAGGCTATACGTGGTTGAATGAGTTTGCATCAGGAAACATGTCCGCTCAAATGAGAACTTCCACAAGAAAAATGCTCTCAGTGATAGCGTTTGTTTATCACTGCAGATAAAACTGGTTATGTAGTGCGGTCCTCTGTTTATGTACATGCCATGCCAGACTACTATGCATGAAATTTATACTGAGACATGGCTGCTAATCTTTCTAGTTTATATATTCTACTTTGACACTGTTTTTTCTTTCTTTCACTGAAACGTGCAACTAAAAATACCAAACCAGGGTTTACAATCAAAGACAAGATTGCATTATGATACTTGAGCAGAAACCAATACAATTACTCAGGTGTTGGTGCGGTAGTGTTTTATGCACGAGACCATCTATAGAAGCTAACGAAATTATGCAATACAAAGCGTGTGGAGGCACATGGATAGTTCCCATCAGGTCTCTTCTATATGTTGAGATGTTGAAAAACATATAGGTGCACGAAAACTGTTTCACATAACTGAAATGCCAATGGATGACTGATTGAGACTAGGCGTGAAATAAGAGCTGAGTACCCTCAAGAATTGAATGATAAAGTAATTAGCATGGCATAGAAACAATTTACAGGACATGATGGTTTCTGCAGCTCACAGGCATATATAACCGCAAATAAAGCTAAACCGCCCTCAGTATTACCTCAGGAGGCTTCACACTGATCCTGGCACATACATATAAATTTCTCTCATGTAGATCGTCCACAAACATGTCCACAACCTCGTTAGGCAATGTCACGTTAGCATGGTTTCCCTATGAAAAAACACACGCAGAGAACACATTCAGTAACCAACAAGCATCTTATAATCCTGGAGAACAGCATCAAAAGATATAGGCTGTCAACATTACAAAGACATAATTTATCCTACTCAAATCACAGGCAACTAAGGAAATCCCTTAAATGTCCTACAGAGACACCAATGTAGAGAAACAACAATCACAACTTGCATAAGCAGCGTATGAGTCGCAAAAGACTGGAGAACAAAATAGGCATTCACCTTTTCACCAGTCACGACCATATGTATACTCTTGATAGGGCCATCATCAAAGCCACCTTGCTGGTACCATAACCTAGAGATGCGCAAGTTAATTCGCTGGTTCCAAACGGCCGAGGAGATGCCAGTTAGGTCGACAAAAGGTGGCACCGGTGGGGGGTAACCTACGATAAGAAAGCAAGAAAGTAAGCAACAGCAAAAGCAAAAAAAAAACAATCGAAGACGAGAGGCAGGGGCGGGTACCTCTTGATCAATCTCCAGATCCATCGCTCTTGTCGACAGACTCCATCGGCAAAGGGAAACAGAGACCGGTGTCTGTAATCTTGCAAGCCCAACACACTGCTTACTGTAGTTTGCCGTGTGTCATCAAATACATTATATATGCATCTGAAGTTAGTAGATATCCTCATATAGGTGATACAACATAAAGAGCGATGGTCGCGTCCGGTCACCGGCAACCATGGAGACCCCCACGGACGTCTCTCTGCGGGTCAGCAACGGGACCGACAGCATTCGCTATCGTCCTTCTCAATGATGTAGGTGAGAGCAACATATGAGTCACTTGATACTTGAGCAGTAAACTGGTGATATAAATCATGCCCACCCAAAGGGAGTTACAGTAATCTTACAGGACCA